CGCGTTGGCTCAAGCACATTGGTGACTGACAGAGTTCGCAAGCCGTACGTTGTTTGTCTCATTTTCTGGACATGCTCCCAGTGCTGGTGCTTGCGTCTCCTTCATCGAATTATGTGAGAGCCGGCACGCAGGTGTTGACTGATTATTGCCAGTTACACCGGACCCCCCCAGAGGAACGCCAAGTATCCCAGCTGCAACATAAGATGTACCACGCTGAAGTACGAGTACGAAAAATGTGCCGTACAGAAGTACGAAGTTCAGAAGTTTAGAAATCCAACGCGTGAGGAAAGTGTGTGTGTGAGACACGTTTGTCACACTTCTTTTACATGTTTATCAACTTTCATTTTTTCATTCCCAACCCTCCTCGGTTTGGCATTCGTTTTGAATAGAGCAGTGCTCGCGCGTCCTTCCTCCCGCCTCCTCCCTCCTCCTCCCGCCTCCCTCGTGTCTCCCCTTGCCTTGTGCGGACCTCGCCATCCCTGGGGGGTTACGATCAGCGAGACCGTCGCCACTTTCGCCACCCCTGGGGGGGGCTGCGATCTGCGAGACTGTCGCCACTTTCGAGGGCTGCTGGGGAGGCCAGCAGAGTGGGCACTCGCCGCGGACCCAGATTAGACCTCGCCACCCCTGGGGGGGCTGCGATCTGCGAGACCGTCGCCACTTTCGAGGGCTGCTTGGGAGGGCAGCAGAGTGGGCATTCACTGCGGATCAGATTTTGACCTCGCCACCCCTGGGGGGGCCGCGATCTGCGAGACCGTCGCCGCTTTCAAGGGCTGCTGGGGAGGCCAGCAGAGTGGGTACCCACCGCGGATCCAAATTGACCTCGCCATCCCTGGGGGGCTGCGACCGCTCCCGCCCTGCGGTGTGGGCCGTGCGAGACCTCTCTGACAGAGTGTTTGGCACAATCTTTGGTCCCCTTCGCCAGTGCCTGGTCAAAAAAAACTCCTGAAAGTCGCTCCGAGGGGGCCCCACTCTGCCGCCAGCCCCCCCCCCCCGCTTCGAGGTCCGGAACGGCACGGGGACGACCCAAGAGCGCCCCAAGCCGGTCCTAGAGAGTCCGGAGCAGTCCAAGAGAGCCTCCAGACGGTTCCAGATCGCTCCATGACGCCCAAGATGGCCCGCAGACGGCCCAAGACGCCTCCAAGACGGCCCAAGAGGCCTTCAAGAGCACCCCCAAGAGGGCCCCAACATGCAAAAGTCATTGATTTCTCAATAGTTTTTGAAGGATTTTCGCGTTCTCGCCATTTCGGCATACGCACGCTCCAAGACGGCCCAAGAGGCCCCCAAGATCGCCCCAGGACGGCCCAACAAGCCCCCAATGGGGGCTCCAAGACAGCCCAGGAGGGCACCAAGACGGCCCAAGAGGCCCCCAGGACGGCCCAAGAGGGCCCCAGGACGGCCCCAAGAGGGGGCCCAGACGGGGAACCCGAGCGGACATTTCGAACTTTCGGTCCCAAGAGGCCCACAGGAGGACTTCAGAGGCCCCCAGAAGGCTCCCAAGAGGCCCCAAGAAGCCCCCAAGAGCTCCCAAGAGGGCCCCAAGAGGCTCCCAAGACGCCCCCAGGAGGTCCCCAAGAGGCCCCTAAACTCCCCCGCAGAGGCCCCCGAGAGCCCACTCGAGAGACCCCAAGAAGCGTCCATGAGGACTCCGACCCAAAACCCAAGCACGGTCGCGGGATGGGCCGACGGCCATTTGATAGCTGGCACACGCGCCGCGTCACGGCTTTCGATGCTGCGCACCACTTCGGCAAACTCCCAGGGAGCGGCCGGTGATGCGCCGCCGGCGTCTTCGATTAGACCTCGCCATCCCTGGGGGGCTGCGATCTGCGAGACCGTCGCTTCTTTCGAGGGCTGCTGGGAAGGCCAACAGAGAAGGTACCCACCGCGGATCAGAATTTGACCTCGCCATCCCTGGGGGGGCCTGCGATCTGCGAGACTGTCGCCACTTTCGAGGGCTGCTGGGGAGGCCAGCAGAGTGGGCACTCACCGCGGATCCAGATTAGACCTCGCCACCCCTGGGGGGGGGCTGCGATCTGCGAGATTGTCGCCACTTTCCAGGGCTGCTGGGGAGGCCAGCAGAGTGGGTACTCACCGCGGATCAGAATTCGACCTCGCCATCCCCTGGGGGTTACGATCTGCGAGACCGTCGCCACTTTCGAGTGCTGCTGGGGAGGCCAGCAGAGTGGGCAGTCACTGCGGAACCAAATTCGCCCTCGCCACCCCTGGGGGGGCTGCGATCTGCGAGACCGTCGCCACTTTCGAGGGCTGCTGGGGATGCCAGCAGAGTGGGTACCCACCGCGGATCAGAATTAGACTTCGCCATGCCTGGGGGGTTACGATCAGCGAGACCGTTGCCGCTTTCGAGGTCTGCTGGGGAAGCCAGCAGAGTGGGCACTGACCGCGGATCAGATTTTGACCTCGCCATCCCTGGTGGGCTGCGATCTGCGAGATCGTCGCCACTTTCCAGGGCTGCTGTGGAGGCCAGCAGAGTGGGTACTCACCGCGGACCAGAATTCGACCTCGGGGGTTACGATCTGCGAGACCGTCGCCACTTTCGCCACCCCTGGGGGGGGCTGCGATCTGCGAGACCGTCGCCACTTTCGAGGGCTGCTGGGGAGGCCAGCAGAGTGGGCACTCGCCGCGGACCCAATGTAGACCTCGCCACCCCTGGGGGGGCCGCGATCTGCGAGACCGTCGCCTTTTTCGAGGGCTGCTGTGGAGGCCAGCAGAGTGGGCACTCACCGCGGGTCCAAATCAGACCTCGCCACCCCTGGGGTGCTGCGATCTGCGAGACGGTCGCAACTTTCGAGGGCTGCTGGGGAGGCCAGCAGAGTGGGTACCCACCGCGGATCCAGATTAGACCTCGCCACCCCTGGGGGGGCGGCGATCTGCGATACTGTCGCCACTTTCGAGTGCTGCTGGGGAGGCCAGCAGAGTGGGCACTCACCGCGGATCAGAATTTGACCTCGCTACTGCTGTGGGGCTGCGATCTGCGAGACCGTCGCCACTTTCGAGGGCTGCTGGGGAGGCCAGCAGAGTGGGTACTCACTGCGGATCAGATTTAGACCTCGCCCTCCCTGGAGGGTGCTGCGATCTGCGAGATTGTCGCCACTTTAGATGATCACCGCGGATCAGAATTAGACCTCGCCATCTCTGGGGGGGCTGCGATCTGCGAGACCGTCGCCACTTTCGAGGGCTGCTGGGGAGGCCAGCAGAGCGGGTACTCACCGCGGGTCAGAATTCGACCTCGCCATCTCTTGGGGGGCTGAAATCTGCGAAACTGTTGCCAGTTTCGAGGGTTGCTGGGGGGGGCAGCAGAGTGGGAACTCACAACGGATCCACATTAGACCTCGGGAGCACAACGATCACAATTCTGTGGGGCTGCGATCTGTGAAACTGTTGCCACTTTCGAGGGCTACTGGGGAGGCCAGCATCATGGGTACTTGCCGCAGACTCAAATTAGACCTCGCCGTTCGTGGGGGCTGCCCTTTCCTCAACGACTCAGGGGTTCAGCTTGTTGATGCTTTTCACCAAGCCCGTATCCCTTGAGCGGGGACCCGCGAGCCTCCCGAATTTCGTTTGCAGAAGTATATCCTTCCATGCCACGTCGCCACCCCGTGTAAAGTCCCCCAAGCTTCTCATACCCCGCATTGCGCAGGGGTTGGGTATGCCGTCAGGGTAATGCATTTGTATGTCTTCTCTGCACGTTGGATGTGCGTTCGTACTTTTCCGTACTTATGTAGTACCCGTATTTCCGCGTTGCCAGTATTTCGCACTTGCGTTTCGCGGACCTCGTTTGGCTCGCTTGTTCAATCGATATTTATTTCACACTCGTGGTATCGTGTCATACGCGCATTCGCACTTGTTCTTTACTTTGCCAAAATGGAGGATCTCCTGGTCTAGCCGGCCTCGAATCTCATAATGCAGCTGCCACTTGTATTTTCGTTTTCCCCTGAGTTCTGGGGAGGCAGCCAGTTCCAGATCCCCCTTGCTCTCTCCCCCCCGATCGTCTCCCCTCCCACGTCCGGCTCCACGGTCTGGTCGAGGGCGGCACGATCGATCGGTTCTGCGATGTGCTAAACGACCTGCGGGCCAGCGCCCAAGGCCATGGTCACGGACGGGGCGCCGGGCGAGCAACATGCCATACGGCGCGAGCATGCACGCTCGCCCGACGGAGGGTGCCCCCAGAGCTCCGAGGCAGTGACTGTCCAGCAGCGTGGGCCCCCGAAGGTCTGGCGCTCTTTTCCCCGGGACCGGCTCCTCCCCACCGTGCCGTTCCCTTGACGGCCAGGGCTCTTTGGGCGGAGAATGGGCAAACACCTCCCGTCGTGATTTCTTCGCATCTGGAGTAGGCGGGCCCGTCTTGCCCGCAGGCGTTTGTTCCAAGTTGACCGCGGCTCAGTCCTTCGTGGCGTGCTCTTCGCTTCACCGCCGGCTCAGGGTCTATGCCAGTACTCCGTCCTCTACCCAGGGCTTCGTTGTCTTCTTTGCCATCATCCTCATATCGGGGTGGACCTCCGCTTCTTGGATTCACCCGTCGGCCACGCGCAGAAGGGGGGTAGGGGGAGGGGGAAGGCTTTTCAGAAGGAGGCTGCTTCTTTGCAGGCGCTGGCCTTACCTGTAGATGCTAGGCCGGCGCCTTCCAAGAAGCAGCCTCCTTCTAAGAAGCCTTCCCCTCCCCCCTCCCCTCCCCCATACCCCCCTCCCCAATACCCCCCTCTGCGCGCCGCCGAACCAGGCCTTTTCGGACGGGGATAGGACGAGGATAAATCCGTTCCAGAGCGTTCCGGAACGCTTTCAGAGCGTTCTGGATCGCTCTGAGAAGGTAGCGGCGCCCGAGACATTTTCCAGAGCCGCCAGATCTCAGAGATTCTCGATTAATCCTCACCCGACTTTATCCTCGTCATGGCTTCGTCTTAGCGCCGCCAAGCCAGGCCTTTCGTCTCGCGGAGGTCTGGTTGGGTCTGACTGCCCCCTTCTTCTCCCCGGGGCGCCAAGAGGCGCAGAGGCTCCGGTGGCAGGCCACGCCGCAGGCGTCGCTGGCGGCCGCGGGAGGCGCCCCCCCCCCCCCCCTTGCAGCCAAGGGAGGAGGGAGGAGGGAGGGAGGAGGAGGAGGAGGAGGAGCAGGAGGAGCATGAGGAGCAGGAGGAGCAGGAGGAGGAGGAGGAGGAGGAGGAGCAGGAGGAGCAGGAGGAGCAGGAGGATGGGGAGGCAGGGCTCACTTCGACTCCTCCGGTTCGATTCGATTCGATTCGATTGCGATGGTTTCCGATTCCGATCCGATTCGATTTCGGATTCCGATCGGACTCCGATGTCTCAGCGGAGGCCTTCCTAGCCTGCGGATTTATGTCGATTCGATTTCTCCCGATTTGGTTGCATCCGATTCATTTCGATCGCTGCTCCGACTCAATCGATCCGATTCTGGGCTCTCCTAGGAGGAGGTCTTCTTTGAGGTCCCACAACGGTGCGGTGACCACGCCGTCGGGTGAGTCAGTGGAGATTGGGGGTGCCGCTTGGCTTCGGGCCTCGGGTCGTTTTCCAACGATGCCTCGGGGCACCGTGGGCTTCTCCAGTCTGCTTCCGGTGAGATCGGAACGTGGAGGGAATGGAGGAGGGACGGAGACCGACACCAGTTCCTGCCCGTTTGGGGATCAGTAGTCGCCTGCCCAAGATGCCGCCGCCGTCAGCTTTTGACCCCATTGAAATTGGCCGTCGACCTCAGTTTTGTCCGTCCCCAGTTCGGGCGTGCTGCTTCCTGACGCCCTGAAGGCATTCCGACGGCATGCCGACGAAGCGATGAACAGAAGAGGAAGAGGAGGCCGTCTTCCCTCCCCCCCCTTCTCCCTCCTGCCCCTCCCTTCTCCCCTTCCTCCGCCTTCTTCTCCTCGACCCCGTCCCCTGCACTTCCCCCCGTCCTCTCCTCCCCCTTCCCTCCTCAGGAGGAGGAGGAGAAGGAGGAGGTGGAGGAGGAGGTGGAGGAGTCTAGGATCGATGATTGCGATATCCAGTCAATTTTTGGTGTTGATGTTTTTTCTGTCTGTGGGAGTCTTCTCGTCGCCACCGTCGCCACCGAGGGAAAATGATGTTCTAATGCAACCTTGGAGAGGTCCAGGAGCCCATGTCTGAGAGGAGGATGGAAAGGAGGAGGGAGGAGGAGAAGCAGGAGGAGGAAGAGGAGCAGATGATCTTGGATGCTGAGAGTGAGTACGGAAGTTATCCGAACACCTGGACTGATCCCCGCGCGGATATGTACGAATGATGCTGTGACTTCGTTTCTTCGGTGTGAGGCTGGCCGCGGAGTGCCCGCTCAGACCTGAGCGCGAGGGCGTCGAAGCAGAAGCAGAGCAGAGAGGTGGGAGGAACAAGGAGGAAGGAGGGAGGGGGAACCACATGAGGAGGGGCAGGAGGAGGGGGAGCGGAGTGCGGAGTAGCAGCATGGGGAAGATGCGGTAGGAAGGAGGAGCGGGATGGGAGCGGGTGGGGGGGGGGGTGTCCTCGGGGTGCCTCCCTTCTCTCTCCTCTCTCCGCGCTCATTCCTCCTTCCTCCTCGATCCTCTCTCCTCGCCCCTTCCTCCAACCACCTCCCTCCTCGATCATCCATCCAGGTGGGCACGGACTCGGTCTCTTTAGCCAGAGTTCCTGGGAACAGATCGTTGGCATCAGACAGGTTTGCAGTTTTGCATTCAGGTAGCGTCTTTTGACGTGTGGTGTTATTCGTCAGTTCGGATTTGGACATAGCGCTGAGAGACACAGTACCAGGTGTTGTGTCGCTTGCCCCAGCTGATCGAGCCAGAGACTGCGAACACGAAGTGTTTGGATTGATCTACCTTGCGAGAAAAGCGTCCCTTGTCCCACGGCGCCTCCTTCGTTCACGGTATGTCTTTTGGAGATCGAAAGTGTTTTCGAGCAGCCAAGAGCAAGGACAATTCATGGTTTCCTCCTCCTCTTCCTCCCTCCTTTGAACTTAGGCTTTTGTTAGAGTAGATGGGGTCGGAGGATCGCGCCGCATCGCCGATGCATTGCCCATGCGGCTCAATGACGAGCCCGAATTTCTCCACGCCAACGGCGCCGATACATCGGCGACGTATCCGAGATGCGTCGGCGATGCGGCGCGATCCTCCGACTCCATGGACTCGGACCCCAATCTAGGAGGCCTCTAATAAAGGGTTGACATTTCACTTCCAGCCACAGGTTCGCTGAACGCGGCCGCAGCCGTCTCGCGTGCCATTGCTCCTCCAGCCGTGCGCGTCGGGCTGTGTGGCCAGAGTCCCGGCACTCAGTTCCGAGCAATATCGTCAGGGTGTTGATCGGCTTACAGCCAAGACGCTGAAATGGGGAACATCTGGGGCTTGGATGGTGGGTGAAGATTCGTGCGCGTGGCCTCGCAGGCCGGGCCCCTGAGGCCCCTGGATGCGGGGCGTTTTTGTGATTTGAATGGATGCCCCGCGAGGAACGTATCTTTTCGACCGCGTATCCCTGGGATCGCGCCCCCGAATGCAGACGGCGAGAGCGTGGATGCGTGTGCGTTCGCCGGTCGTGGTCAGGAGGGGGTCCGGTTCTCGGGTTTCTCCGTGGATCTGGGTCGGGCGACTTGTTTAGGGTCAAGGCTCGCCGTGGCCAGAGGACAACCATGGTTCTTCAGAAGGCGTTCGTGACGGCAGCACGTCAACGGTATCTGTCCAAGTGTCGTCAGGGGTTCATGGGCGCGGGGGGGGGGAGCGGCGGGGGGCACGGAAGTCATCAGATGCGTTTGCAAGTCGTTGATGCCTTGGTTCTGTTGCGGGCGTGAACCCTGTTCTGGTCATATGTCATACAGGTCCTCTGGACTTTGGCACGGATATCCTGAGGTAGTGAACCAAAGTCGAGCCGACTTTTCAGACAGATTGTTTCCCAGGCCGATGGCCGATGGTTATAAGTCGTTCTGTCAGTTTTACCTGACTCGCTTCGCGACTAGTCTCACTAGTTCCATCCTCCCTCTATCTTCGCTTCTTTGTCCCTCCTCCATCCTCCCTCCGAGGTCTCCGCCAGAAATGTCGACCCCTTCCCCCCAAAGGGGTCACACATGGAGCCAGGAGCCATGAAATTGTACATCCCTTGGCCGTCACCCGAAGCTCGACGGAGCCAGATATACTGTCGGGCCTTGGAGTGCAGATCCCGAGGGTGACTTGTGTTTTCTTATGTTTCTCTCTGTGTGTGTTTGCGCTGTGTAGCCCGATGTTCAGAATCCAGCTGCGTGTAGCTGGTTTGGACTCCGCCTCTGGCGACCCCGAGAACAGACGTCCAAGGCTGAGCGCCGCTAGTGGCCCGGAGTCGGTCTGTATTGAATGGGCTGCGCTACCCGAAATCTGTACTCGTCCAGGGTTGAACGATCCACGCGTTGTCAGAGACCAGCGCCGCGGGGCGCGGGGCGCGATGCTAGGTGACCTATGCCCAGACCTGCAAGGCCGCCACTTCTTCACCAGGTGGACCGGGGCCTTCTCCCCGGCACCAGCTTCTCACCCGGGGCCGTTTTTTCTTGACGGCCCCATTGCCCCAGTGAGTACCCCGGGAGCCCGAAATCTGCAAGGAAACAACCCGAGGAGGTTTGGCTGTCGGGCCTTCTCTCAGCTCTTGGGCGGCAATCCGGGACGATTCGGGCACCCCCAGACAGCTGTCGGAGAGGCGCACTTGCTGGAACGCACCCCGAGGCGAGAGAACCTCCGGCAACCAGCGAGGAGGTCTGTTTAGGTGCGCCCGCGCGGCAGGCTGGAGGCAGTCGCTCTTCCACGAGGCCTCGGCGTGGGCGCCGCTGTCGGCCGAGACGCTGCGCTCCGAGTGGCACGTCGTGTCGATGGAGCCCGCGCAGGCGGCTGCGCAGCGCCTCCGGCCTGCTCCTTTCCCGTTCCCCTCTTCTCGGCCTTTCCACTCCCGCTCCCCCTCGCTCCACTCCCGTTCCCCTCCCTTTTTTCCTCCCTCCCTCCACTCCACTACCTCCCCTCCAATTCCCTCCCCTCCCCCTGCCCTCCCTCCCCTGTCTTGCTCCCCTCCCTCCCCTTCCCTCCCTGCACTCCCCTCTCTCCCTTTCCTCCCCTGACCTGCTTCCCTTCCACGCCCGGCCCTGTTCCCCTCCCTCCCTCCCCTCGCTTCCACCCCTCTTTCTCTCCCCTCCCTCCCTTCCCTCCCTCCCCTCTACCCCATGTCCTCCCAGCAATGAGGAGACACTGCGACGAGCGAACAGCCTTGAACATTAAGGCACAATACGCCCCATTCGCGGTGCTGCTCGTCTGCGTTGTCAGCTGCATGGCGGTACCGAGCAGACCCGAGAACGTGTGCAGCGCCTTGAGCTACGCTTTCAGATCCGGCCTCGACCTTCACGAGCCTGCCTTCCCCATCCCTTCCCTCGGAGAGGGGAAGTCGTCTGGTATTGCCTTTTGACTCGTCGCCACGGCCGATTTCGCCTCGAGACCCTGGTCAGACCTCCCTCCCTCCATCCCGCCCTCCCTCTCTCCGTGCCCCCTTCCCTTCCTCACTCCTCCCCCCCCTCTCCCTCCCTGACTCCCTCACTCCCCTCCTCGCTTCCCTCCTGAGCCAGCGCAGGTGCTCCGCAGTGGCTCCGACCTGCGGGCTGGGGACGCGGTGCTCGTCAACCCAGACGACGAAGAGGAGGCACGCCTTCCTTCTTCCTCCCTCCATCCCTCCTCATCCCTCCATTCCCCTCTTCATCGTCCTCCTCCTCCTCCTCCTCCTCCTCCTCCTCCTCCTCCTCCTCCTCCTCCTCCTCCTCCGTGTGTGCCCGAGGCCCTGGCGGCGGCTGAGGAGGTCCTGGGGTCCGTGCCTGCGCCATAAGAGTAGCCACCAGACGGGCTCGAGGCCTTCAAGGAGCTAAAACTTGTTTTAGTCACCCACGGGGCCATGGTCTGCTGCACCCGTGTGGGGCCTCGTCGTCGAGGGAGGAGCGGTGGAGCGGACGCTTGAATCTGAATTCGGAGTGCGTTGGGCCGTCTTCCAATCCCGCCACCAGGGCCAACCAGAAGAGGAAGGCCGACCTGGTGAAGCGGGGCCTCCACCCCAAGACGGGGGCCCGCTGTCCCTCCTTGCCTGAACTCGTTTGGCTTTATTTTCTGAGGTTTCGCCTCGCCCTCCCGCCTTAAGCGGCTAGGGGTTTCATGATTCCAGGGTTTTTCGGTTTCTCAGGCTGCTAGCCTCCTCTTCCTTCTCCTCCTCATCCTCCTCCTCCTCCTTCTCCTCCTCTTCCTCCTTCACTCATACCTATACGACCACCCTTCGGGTGATAAGGAGGTGAAGGGGGGGGGAGGGGCCAACGTCGCACTCGATCGATCTCACTATCGAACTCACTACCGATCTCACAATCGATCGCAATCGATCGATCTCACGATCGATCTGATTATCGATCGCACAATCGATCTCACAATCGATCTCACCATCGATCTCACAATCGGTCTCTCTATTGATCTCACAATCGACATCACAATCGATCTCACAGTCGATCTCACATTCGATCCGACTATCGATCCCGCTATCAAACTCACAATCAATCTCATTATCGATCTCACATTCGGTCTCACTATCGATCTCACGATGGATGTCACAATCGATCTCGCAATCGATCTCGCATTCGGTCTCATTACCGATCTCACTATCGAACTCACTTTCGATCTCATTATCGGTCTTACATTCGGTCTCACTACCGAACTTACCATCGATATCACAACCGATCTCACAAGGTCTCACCATCGATCTCACTATCGAACTCACTATCGATCTCATTATCAATCTCAATCGATCGATCTCACAATCGATCTGACTATCGATCTCACAATATGTCCCACAATCGATCTCGCATTCGGTCTCGCTATCGATGTCACTATCGATATCACAATCGATCTCACATTTGATCTCCCATTCGGTCTCACAGTCGATCTCACTATCGATACCATTATCGATCTCACAATCGATCTCACAATCGGTCTGACGTTCGGTCTCACGTTCGATCTCACAATCGATACCACTATCGACCTCACTATCGATCTCACATTCGACCTCACTATCGATCTCACTATCTATCATCGAAGTAAAACATCAACATCAGCATCACCATCATCACCATCAACATCACCATCATCATCATCGTCATCATTATGCTGCCCGCGGCTATTTGTGGCTCTCTTTCGGGCCGCGCTTCCATTCTCAAGTCTTTCAGGTGTCTTGCTCAGTTATCCAAGACATCGCCCGCCATGCGGCGGACGTCCTGAGGTACGGGGCGCAGGCGCTGGGGGCTACGGTCGCGGCGCGGGCCGCCGCGCCCAGCTGCGGGGCCTGCTCGCCGCAGCTGGCGCGCCCCGCGCCTCCGACCTTCCCCTGCCCCTCCTGCGCCTGGGCAGGCGCGGGCGGGCACGTGGTCGAGCCCTCGTGCCTGGGCCTCGTCACGGCCTACTCGGTGGCCGCGCTGACCGTCGGCCTCGCCGTCGGGGCCGTGGGAGGCGCCTGGGCTGCGCGGCGGCTCCTCGGGCAGTCTGCCCACCAGCCGCCCGCCGTGGTGGAGATCGTGGACGGCATCGACATCGCCGCTCTCGCGGCTCAGCAGGTGCGTGACGCCCGAGCCCGCGCCCCAGCACTGCAGTGATGGCGGGCAGCTTCCACGTGCTGCGCTACCGCGTTGGCGGCGCGCCCCTGCGGCACGAGCGCCTCGCGCTTGGCGTCAACGGGGGCCTCGCCTACATCCTCACTCCCGACTTCGACGACTACGACGAGCCCATCGTCGTCGGCCCCGACGTGCGAGCGGTCCTGCAGCTCGCGGGCCAGGGCGACGCGCCGCCAGCCCTGGCGGGCGCCGCGGTACACCGCTTCCGCCGCCTTCCGACGGCCGCGGAGCTGTGGGCGGCTGTCGCTCGCTCGGTGGCCGCGGGCTACCCGAGACCCGCCGGCCCGCTGCCGCTGGCGCTCGCGGCAGGCAACGTGGCAGGCGCCCCGCCTGGTCCCTTCCCGCTGGCGGACCCTGCGGCTGCGGCCGCCCTGCCGCCTGCGGCCCTGCCGCCACCACCTGGCGGGGGAGGTGCGGCGCCGCCCGCGGGGGCTGCGGCCCCGCTGGCGCTGCCCCCCGCGGCAGCGGCCGCTGCGGCGGCCCCTCTCGGCGTCGCCCCTGGCGTCGCTGCGCTGGCCGCCGCGCTGGGAGCCGTCCCGCCTGGCCCCGCGGGGGCCTTGCCGATGGTGCCTGCGCCCGAAGTGGCGGCTGCGCTTGTCGCCGCCGCCCCTGCGGCGCCCGCCCCCGTCGGCGACTTCATGGCCCCCCCAATGCTGCTCAACCCGCGGGGCGAGCGCCAGAGGAGGTTCGGCGAGACCGTCAATGCCCTCTCGGAGACGCCCGTGCAGGGCTGGCCTGTGCAAGGGCCGAGGACCCTTTTCTGGCGCCTGTCCTTCATGTCGACGATGGCGGGCACGCCTACGGCGTGGCATCCGAGGTGGCTTACGTCGATGGCGTTGCCCGACGAGGACGAGCGCGCGAAGCCCCACGAGACCCTCTGCCGCGTCTTGGACCTCGCCGTCGTGTACGACCAGCTGCAGATCGCCGAGATGGCATCGTTCGAGATCGTCGCTCCCCAGCTCCAGCTTCTGGAGGAGCGGGCGTGCGAGACGCGATCGGCACCTCCGAGCGGCGCGGCCCCCAAGGCCAAGGCCGCTGCCCGAGGCGGCGCCGCAGCTGGGGCCTCCAGCATGCCCGAGACCAGTTACTTCCTCGGCGCAGGCGTCTCCAAGGCCAATCTCTGCATCTCGCCGAAGTTGCTGGAGTACATCGCAGACCAGATGAAGGCGGAGGCCGCCATCAGCAAAGAGCGCCGCAAGGCTCGCGAGGAGCGGGCCTTGCGGGCGCCATGACGCCTGAGAACTTCAGGCCTGGCTGTGGGGCGCGCCGCAGTGGCGCCAGCCAGGCTCATTGCCCCCTCGCTGCTCAACCTTCTCGACAGCGAGACGTTTTCCCCCTCCACCCTATACCTGTGGAGCGAAGATCGGGCACTTCATCCATGGGCGGGTCGGCCCGCAGACGGGCCGCCAAGGGCGCTGCCTGGCGCGAGTGGTACAACGACGCGGTGTCCACTCTCAACGACATGTACCACCGCGACCCGAACGATGTGATCAGCCCGACGCCTGGTCTTCCTCCGCGCGCTCGTAGTGACGCTGAGGAGTATCTTGCTCAACAGTATCGCGATTCTGAACTACCTCTTGGATATGCCCAATCTCCTCTTAGATGCGAGGCAGCCCTCGGAGAGTTGCTCGCATCGGCGCCTGGGTACTCTGGAGAGTCTCGGGTAAGACCCTACAACAAGGAGCTCGTCTCCTGGCCGAAGCACGTGGCGCCTGTCCCGACGGCCGACCTCGCTCCTGCAGCTGATCGTTCTACGTTGTCAGGGTGGAGGCATCAAATGCTACGTGACCCTGCTGATGCAGCTGCTCTCAGGAAGGGCTCGGGACTGGGGTTGCCATATGTGGATCCACGTCTGCGATTTCGGCCTCGGGGGTATGCTGATTTTCTGCTGCGCCTGGACCAGGCTGGCATGCTTGAGTGGGAGGTCGCCGAACGCCAGGCTACCTACTCTATTGGGTTTTTCTTCGTCGAGAAGTCCAACGGCGTCTACTTGCGGCTCGTCTTCGACACGCGGGTAGCCAACATGTCCTTCTCGGCCCCTCCTTCTACGAGATTGCCGACTCCGTCGGCATGGAGCGCACTCGAGGCCGACCGCGAGTTCTACGTGGCCCAGGGCGACATAAAGTGCGCATTCTACCACATGAAGTTACCGCCACATCTACATCGATATGTTTCTCTGCCCGTCGCCCCGAATCGATACTTGGGCTTCAAGCGGCTCAACGGCGTGAACATCGGGACGAACTGCTTCCTGCAGCCGTTCGTCTCCGTCATGCCGATGGGCTGGTCGTGGGCCCTCCACTTCTGCCAGTCCGCCCTGACCACGGCCATCCTCGACTCGGGAATCGACGAGAGCTCCATGCTGGTGGACGGCGCTGCCATCCCTCCGCTGCGGAAGGACTCCGACGTCATCGGCGCGGGCTACGTAGACAACTTTGCCACCGTGTCTCTCGACCCTGATGTAGCCACGGCCGCCTGCCAGGCCATGCGCGACGTGCTCGTGTCGAGGGGTCTGCCCGTCGACGAGTTCGCCCCCGCGGCCAAGCGCGTGGTCTTCACTGGCTTGGACATCCTCGGCGACGTCGGCATCGTCCGCTGTAAGATCGACAGGCTCTGCCGGTTGCGTCAAGCCCTTCTTGGTCTACTTAGACGTGGCTTTGCATCGCCTCTGGCCTTGTCAGCAGTGGTGGGTCACTGTACTTGGAGTATGATCTCCCATAGACCCACGCTGTCGATCTTCAACTCGGTCTACCGCTTCATGGGCCTGGACTCCCGAGTGGCCGCGCCGCCGTGGCCGTCGGTCATCGCAGAGTTCCGCGCGGCAGCCGCCCTCGCACCGCTATGGTGGGCCGACGTCGGAGCAGAGTGGTCGGCGACTACCCTCTGCAGCGACGCCTCCCCCTACGGCATCGGGGTCTGCCGCGAGACCGTCGACCAGGAGGTCGCCGCGGCCGCTGGGCGCCTGTCTGAGAGATGGCGCTATCGGTTCTCCGACGCCGTGCGCGCC